TCTCTCTCTCTCTCTTGTGCACGCTCTTAGTCTCATTGCTTTGGCTACCTTAGGGCTGCCTTCCCCGCGCCCACGCGGTAGACAATAATCATTACCATAGGCCTCACTCGGTAGACAATAATCACTACCGTCACTACCATAGGCCTCACGAGGTCGACAATAATCACTACCGTAGGCCTCCGCAACCACATCAACAAACTACGGGCTGCGCACACGTGCCGTCACCGTAAGTTCACAGCCCGCCAGGGTTGCGTTTTCCCCCCCTGAGACATTTTTCGTCGTCGTTCGTTATACCGGTCGTTCATTTGGGCCCATTGGTCGTTCAAAGGCTGGTAAAATGAAAGCCACTGGCATTGGGGGGGGGGCGGCAGTTCAAGCAAATCCAGGACTGGTAGCTGTCTGTGGCGTTTTCCTGGGAACCCGGCAGTCCAAAAAAATTTGAAACGGTGTGTGTCCGGCCGCAGGGCCTTGAAATTCGAATCTGAAACGGTGTAGACCCCGGTTGTCTGCGTGCCATCTGGATTTGTTCCGCGCCCTCTCTCTCTCTCTCTCTCTCTCTCTCTCTCTCTCTCTCTCATCAATCAAGCATATACCAACTACGGGCTGCGCACCCGTGCCCTCACGGTAAGTCAATCAATATTTAGACCCCAAAGACAGCTATAATGACCTTACATTGGCTCAAAAGTGTTAACCTGCATGGGCTTGGTTCTGCGTTTTTTTTATTATTTATTCAATGTTTCATTATACCAGAAGCAAAAGGAGGCCGGGAATCCCTCCACATATCAACCCGATAGAAAGGTACTTGAAACCGGGTCCGGTGTCCCTTGCTTATCCGTCTGCGTGCCATTCCAAAACAACCATTCAACTGGACTAACAAAATAGAAATCGCAGTGAAGGGGTGGCTCTGCGTTCTCTCACCAAATGTCACAAAATGTGTCATATCTGTTTCTCCCTTCGCAGCGGAGTGGAGGAAGGAGGGCCCGCGCTCCACTAGTATCCAAATGTCCAAAATGATAATGAATCTTCCGCTAGAACATGGAAAGATACACAGCCTTTTTTGTGTTTACTCTTTTATCTTTCCGCGCGTCATCCTTGCGCAGGGGCCATGCTATTTACCCTTCTCTGTATTGTTCCAATTTTAACGGATGTCCCGGAGGACCGACGGCCCATTTTTTGTCCTTTGTGCACATGCGGTGGGTAGTGGAGCGAGGGTCATTCCTTTCCATTCTATTCCCCCCCGACATGTCACAAGCGCCTGGCGTGGGGGACCCTTTTCAGGTTTGTGGAGTTGCCGCTGGAGCTGGAGCCGGAGCTGGAGTTAGCCCAGTCATCAGCTTGGTACACGTGTCAAGACCAAGCACCGTCTTTCGGTGTGTCATAGGACAACGCTCGCGCACGAGTAGGCTCCGCTATGATGGCGGCGGTTCAGAGTGTGTCCCGATCAGGTGTGTCAGCAAGTGCCGTGTCACCACTCTCGCCGTCTCGTCAATCTGACGTGGCATTGCCAGCTGTCGCATCCTCAGCAGCCGACAAGAGCAGCAAGAACAGCAGTACCACAAGCAGCAGGAGCGCCGGCGGCGGACAAGCGGCGGGGGCGGCGGGGGCGGCGGGAGAGAGAGAGAGTCACGAGGACGAGGAGATCACTCGCGCGGAGATCGAGGCTCGTGCGCAGGCGATCAGTCGGAACGTCAGGTGTCTAACCTGTGCCAATCAATCAATCGACGAGTCGCAGTCGGACATAGCTGTGCTCTTGCGCAGATTGATTCGAGATGAGCTAGGCAAGGGGAAGACGGAGCAACAAGTCTACCAAAAATTGACGGAGGATTTTGGGGAAACGGTACTATATAAACCGCCGTTCAACGCGCAGACAGCAATTCTGTGGCTTCTGCCTGCGGTGTGCATGGCAGGCGCGGCGGGGTTATCATGGATTGCGCGCCGAAGAGCAAGTAGACGATTGCTGGCGGCGCCGAACCTGTTTCCGAACCTGCCTTTGACGGCCGCGGAGAGAGAATGCCTCGCGAAGCTGATTGAGCCGCCGTCGATCGCGCGGAGAAGGCGGGAATGGTTGCCGTCTTTTTGGCAGGGGGGGGGCAAATGAAGACAGCGGCGCACCGCCGCGCCCGCTGTCGGCGGGCCTCCAGTTTGTGAGGTCTGGTCTGCTAAATTGATATTGATTGTGGCTGAGGCTCTGTGGCGTCGTGCCTGCCCCGTGGTGGTGGTGGTTAGACGGGAGGAAGGAGGGGAGGGGAGAGGGGGGGGAGGGAAGGGAACTGCGCGCCGTCAGGGAAGGGAACTGCGCGCCGTCGTGCCTGCCCCGCCGCCCCGCCGCCTCTCGTCCCCAGGGGGGGCGCGTCGTCGGATTCGCACACAGACACACACACACACACACACACACACACACACACACACACAGATTTGACGTTTGACGTTGTTTTGGAGGGAAGAGAGATTCCCGCGAAGAGAGATTTGACGTTTTTGCCGGGGAGCAAGACTCGCGCAGAGAGAGATTTTACGTTGTTTTGGCGGGAAAATAGGTTCGCTCACCTGCTGCAATTCTCCTTTCTTTTGACAAGTACGCAAAGTTTTCAGTTTTGACAAAACTCACGCACAGAGACACAGCGAGGAGGGAGAGAGAGAGAGAGAGAGAGAGAGAGAGAGAGAGAGAGAGAGAGAGAGAGAGAGAGAGAGAGAGAGAGAGAGAGAGAGAGAGAGAG